TTTAATTTCCCTCAGTATCCATTGTGTGCAACAAAAGCTTACATGTCACTCGTTTGAAAGGAGTAGTTTTCTCCGCTTGCTATAGTAACTGCCATAATTGCCAGGTATACAAGGGGAAATTTGACTTTCTTTTTGCAAGTTCTGGCAGGGGTGGGGGGGTGCTCTGGCCGGTGTCCTGCCCAGCTCACTGATGTCACTGGTTGCCAGGAGCTGGGTGGGATGGTGGTCAGAGCGTTCCAGGTTACTATGAGCTGGGTGGGGAGATGTGTACGGCCCTTACACATCTCCCTGCCCTTAGCAACCTGGGACAATCTGGCCGGAAAGGGGGCGGTAGCACACTGGAAACATTGTGCCGCTCTGCCTGCTGCCACTACATGACCCAAAGAGATGCTGCCTGAGGCAACAGCCTCAGCCTGACTCATTATAAGGACAGCCCTGTTTACATGGATTTGCTTCTATAGCTGTACACGTTATTAGCAAAAACATTCGGACGGTATTCTGTTTTCAGTATTTATGGCCATGTTATGATCATCTGCATTGCAATTCAAGCTATTGGAAATATTTACTTTATGTGATTTATAATGGAATAAAAAGGTCCCACTTGGCCACATGTTGGATAGTATTTTAAGTTCCAGTAATTATCATGGAAGCTTTATACAGCATAAACCAACTGCACTTAGTTGTCAATACTTCCTGTCAGCGATATTGAGGAAAACGCATGACGCATGAAGTTGGAGAAAATGGCTGTGTACAGGGGTATGGGGGCATGTGAACATTGCGAAGAACATTTTCAGACAAAGCATGTGATTTATGTTATTTGTAACATTATGCTTACACTATACCTATTACCAAAAAGAAACATTCCATAAAAAGTGTGTTATTCCTGTGAATTCTAGTCTGAGTATTTGTCTCCCTCTACAGGCCTCCTCTTTTAGTGCACCTTCCTACAATGGTCCGGATTGTAAAACTGTAGAATCATGGGTGGTATGGTCTGTTTTTGAATAATTGAAGGTTATTAGATATACAATGATAACAGAAAAAACATGGCACAAAACAGGATTGTTAGAAGGCTTTACATTTTATGTCATGAAAAAGTGGACTGATGCTATATCATTACTGCTAATGCCTGTCAGTATAGTGTATTGTGTACTATTTCAGGAAATATCTTCTCCTCTCTGGACTTGGTTAAAGTAATATTAAACTCTCAAACTTTTTTTCATTAATGAATCCAAATCAATGTATATTGCCCAGAAAAACATTGCTTCATTTTTGCACAAACACTTACAATCATCATGTTTCCAAGTCTCTCAATTCAGCTTCCCTGAACTTCCTGTCCAAAACAAGATCACAAGGGACAGAGCAGACTCCAGCAACTGTTCATCTATCAGCTTAGAGGAGAGGGGGCCAGGGGGGAGGGAAGTAGCTTGATTGGCTTTGTCTGTGTGTTTGTGGAGACACACACAGCTTACTAGCACACACAAGGGAGACTGCAAAGCACTCTGCTTGAGAAAGGAGTCACTCTAAGCCCCATTCACACTGAGGGACATGAAAATCGCGCCATTTTGAGCGATATTGCGCGACTTTTTCCTATTGGGCTGTATGCAATCAGGAGCAATATCGCTCGAAAAAAGGGTCATGTAGGAGCGACAAGCTACAGCGACGAGCTACAAGCGATATTGAGCGACGAGATGTGAACAGCTCCATTGAAATGGATTGGAGAAGCTACATAGAGCGATATCGCGTGGAAATATGAGCGATATCGCTGCAAAAATCGCTCGATAAATCGCTCAGTGTGAATGGGGCCTAAGTGCCTGTTCACACGACGTCCGTTTTATGTGCTGACCTGATCCGTACACTCCTGCACTCAAAATGCATCCCAATGTATATCCCTATGTGTTTTATGGGCTACAGTTCTCATGTGCGCAGTCCGTTCAGGTTAAGACAGAAAAATACTGCATGTCACATTTTGTACGGTCAGGAAACGGTCAGAAACGCAAACGCGTCAAAAACGCACTGCACTGCAGCTAACATACTAACAGCCCCACTCCCCACTTTACTGCAACACATCAAAAACGCGGCCAAAACGCACTGCATCAGTAGCACCGCGTCTGCAGATCCGGACCTGAAACGCATGTGAACAGGCCCTTAGGGCTTGTTTCCACCAGTCCGTGCACTGTCCCGTGCCCGGAACACAAGGGATCGCATACACAAAGTCTCCTTTACGTTCTGGGGCATGGCAGTGCCATTCATGTCAATTGCACTGCAGATACGCCACCCGCCTGCAGTGCAATCGGCCGCACAGGACTGCATGGTAATACAACATGCCTTGCATTCCAGTGCGGTATGATCGCAAAAAATCGTGCATGCACGGTGGGCGTGTCTGCAGTGCCATTGACATAAATGGCCCTGCCAAGCCCCCTCCCGCCTCAGAATGCCAGGAGACTTTGTATATGCGATCCCTTGCGTTGCGGCACGGTACAGTACGATGAACACACAGGCTAGTGAAAACAAGCCCTAAAATAGGATATCCGGACCGGTGCTCAGAAGATCAGCTGATTCTGCAGCAAACTAAAACGTTTAAACATCAAGACGCAGCATCCATTGGAAGTGATTTCAGCAGCATTTGAAATAGCTTAAAATCCTTTTGATTTTAATCTCACTTTAACATGGGTTCAAGCACAGGGACAGTCAGCTTGGGCAAACTTTCCAGCAGCTAAGATGGATCTGTAGCAAGAGTGCTGATAAGAACTGGAAAAAACCTGGGGCACACTGAAGAGAGAAAAGTAGTGATGGACGTAGCATGCACGGTGGGCTACAACATTGGTTTAAGCTACATTAAGCTGAACAGTAGGTGTGGCATAAAAGGGCATGGTTAAAGAGACACACTGTCACCTTGCCCACCGACTCCCTTACACTCACCTTACCAGCATTCCCTCGCTTCCTCCTCTGCAGCCGTCCCAATACCTGCTACTTCCCAGGTATGGAGGACCAAGTAACCTCCTGCATCAGCTGCCTGAGAAATGACAAGCTGAAGGTGGAAGTGATGTAATACACATGACTTCCGCATTCAGTGATCGGAGGGGAGTGTGCTGCTCTCCCTCTGATCTCAGTGCAGAGTCCCGCCGTGCCGGTCCCACATGGAGGACAGCGACCTGTTAAAAGGTAGCTGCTGTCCGGCCATTTAAATACAATAGCGGGATGGCAAGTAGTTAATATGCTCGGAGTTCTTCTTTAACCCTTACATGACCAGTGACATACAGTGTACGTCAATAGCTTATTTCAAGTGTAAAGGTGACACTGGGGGTCTTTTCGTCCCCCCAGTATCACCTTAAAGAGGACCTGTCACTGCCAATATGCTTTCACATGGGGGATTGTAAGCCCGCCTATGTCACAGCAATTAAAGTAAAGTTTTTTTTTAAAAACCCAGTTTTTAAAATGAATATTAAATAAAATAAATGTAAAAATAATTGTAAAAAATGTCCCCCGCCCCCACGAGCATGTGCGCCTTCACATAAACACGCGTCGGGTGCACTTACATATGAAAACGATGATTGCGCTACACATGTTATATATCGCCACACACACCAGTGTGAGAGCAATAATTCTAGGGGCCAATATGTACGGGTATCTCTAAACTAATGACCTGCAGGGGCTTTTAAAGCGTTTTTGGGGTACTAAATTCTGTCGCACACAATTTTTAACCTGGGCATGTTGGGAATCTATTTACTCGTTGTAACCTCATCTTTCATATTGTATTTAAAAAATGGGTATTTTATCGTGTTTTGGGTCATTTCAATAAATTTTGGGGTTTGATAAGAAGTTGCGCTAATATTGCGCAACATAAAAATTTGCAACTGCCACCATTTTATTCTATAGGGTCTCGGCTTTCACAGAATATATCATGTTTGAGGGTTTTAAGTCATTTTCAGGCCTAATCGCATTATAGTGAATGTGCGTTAACGAGTGCTGGGTGCGTTGCCATTCATTTGAATGGCATCCCAATACCTTTATCTGTCACCATGTGTTGCAACGCACAATACCACAATGCTGTGCATTTGCTGGAAGAGAGAAGTGCACACGCTTTTTTTTTTCACTGCAACGCACAGTATTGCAGAACCGCATGTTGCAGCACATGGCAGCCAGGTGTGTATTCTAATGAATGGTGATGAACACAGTGCACAGTAAGACCCCGTTCACATTGAGCGATTTATCGCGCGGTAATTCCCGCGATATCGCGGCAAATTACCGCGCGATATCGCGCTCCAATGCAATCCAATGGGGCAAAGGGTCCTGCTGTCGCGGATCGTGTGTCGCTACAGCAGGACCCTTTTTGGAGCGGATTTAGCCGCGATTCAAGCTTGCTCAATGCAAGCTTGAACGCGGCAAATCTCGCGATGTCGCGCAATATGCAAATCGCGCGACAAACGCGCGATTTGCATATCATGCAGTGGGAACGGGGCCTAAGGTATGCTAGCTGTATTGTACTTTAGCATGCGTAATCACACAGAGGGGAATTCATCAAAACTGGAGCAGACAAACTCTGAAGCAGTTGCCCATGGCAACCAATCAGCTTCTCTCTTCAGTTTGTTAAGATTTGAAAATGAAAGAGAAGCTGATTGGTTGCTGTGCACAGTTGCTCCAGATTTTGTCTGCTCCAGTTTTGATAAATTCCCCACAGTTGTGCGATTTATGTAATGCTATGGTGTGAATGAGCCCCGAATGTCCACTTGGGGTCAGAAGTCAGCCTACCGCCATAATAATAACACATAACCCCGCTAGAACTGATATGTGAGGAAATAAACCCGAGTTATGTGTGCACAGGATGTGTGTCTTCATCTCCTCAGACAGGAGATAATGGGGGAATGTCGCGGCGAAGACACAGGCGAGCCCGCCTCTCCTCCCGCTGACAGGAAAGAATCTGGCGGGAAAGATCCGAGCGCCAAAACTCCATAGCCGCCATTCAACAGACACTGCCCGGCTCTAAAACTCCTACATATACAATGCCGGTGGCCGCAGAGGAGACTGTGTGCTCGCAGCAGGTATGGAGGGTCCGGTCCCGGGTGAGGGAAGAATGATGTGTGTTATATTCCCGCTCTCCTCATCTCTCTTACAGGAGCTGAAGGACGAGCCGCCTCACCATGAACCGCCACATGACGAGCTCCAGTATCTGGATCAGATCCGACACATCCTCTACCGGGGATACCGCAAGGAGGACCGGACCGGAACTGGGACCATCTCTGTGTTCGGCATGCAAGCCAGATATAGCCTACGGGGTGAGAGTTTCTGCCCGTGAGGGACGACAAGTCCCAGCATTGCAAGAGTCCTAACAATACATACAATTCACTCAGAATAGCTGCATAGTAGTGGCTGCATTTTGCTCTTAGAATCTTTAAGTCCCTGTTCACACCTATGTGTTCTGTCAACGTGCGTCATGTGTGCGTGTTGATGCGTGTTAATGGAATGCGTCAAAAATGTGTCATGCTTGCGATGCCATTAGTTGTTAATAGCACCCCCGAATGCGGCTAGGGAAATGCATATTTTTCTTGTGTGTTTAAAAGCACAGGCAGCTTGCAGCTGAAAATTCTGTATGTGTTGAAGTGAATGGGCAATGCATGGCAAAAACTACACAAATGCATGTTCCCGGTACGCTGAGGTATGCACGGGGCCTAAGGACTCATGTACACAGGCTAATGAACATACACCCATCTACACTGGATCTGTCTACCAGAAGTGGGCAGAAAAATCCAGTGTACAAATTGTGCGTTATGCACATTTCCGTGTGTGTGTGTGTGCGCACACAAATTCTATCAGCTAGAAGATTCATATATTCCAGACACTAGAATGAATTATGTCCGTATGCTCCTCTCCGAGGGCCGGTTCACTGGAGCACATCCCAGCTGGCTTTCTGCGTTCAAGGGAGGGGGCGTGATGTGCACTGCATGCACTATTCAGATTGCACTGGACCGGAACGCAGGCACTGATGTGCCACACGTTTTGGTGCGGGGGATGTGGCTGCGGTGCCATTGACTTCAACGCACCGGCCTGCCCCTGAACGCAGGAAGCTGACCGGGATGCCCTCCAGCGCGTTCCAGCAGCGAATCATGCTGGAACGCACCGGAGCGGGTGTAAACTGGCCCTAAATTAATGTTATGCCCCTGAACAGCGTTCTAACATACAGTTCTAAACACCACAATGTGAATGGGGACACCGGCTGCATCAGAGGAATTAACCCCTTCACGGGATAATCCCGTCATGAATCCTGAAGGGGGTTAAACAGAAAGCCGCTGGGACTCTGTTCAGATTTGTAGAGCCGGCTTCACAGTAGAAGCGATTTCTGGAGACTCGGCTGCCGCCAGGTTACTTCTACGATCCGGTAAATGGGACAGTTCAGCAGGAATCAAGCAAAATTTGCTGTGTGTACCCAGCTTTGGGGCAGAAAAGCTAATGTTCCCTGAGGGCTGGCTCACACTTTGTTTCAGAATACATGTGTTTCTGGGGACCTCTTAGATTTCACTTCCTGTCCTTGTGATAAAACAGGAAGTGAGGAGAAATCTCCACAAAGTGAACAGAAGTCCCCACTTAACCACCTGCTGTCTGGCCGTGGTCTTGAATGCGGGTGGGTGTTTTTAAACGTTCCATCTCGCCCCGCTAGTGCCTGTTGCTAGGCGGCTCGCACGAGCTGGAAATAAGCTTGCAATGTAAACCGCCAGCAATGGATGTTTACATACAAGCGTTCGGGCATCTGTAGAGATGCCCGATCGCTTGTAATATGTGTGCCCTGTCGCAGCCGCTGCTGGCGATCCCAAGCTATCACATAGGGGGCTTGTTATCCCCCTATATGATCGCAATAAAGTTAAGTGCAAAAAAGGTTTTAAAAAATGAGTTACAACAAAAAATTAAAAGTCACATATAAAGGCAATTAAAAAAACATTTTTTAAAGTCCCCCGACCCCCCAAATGCTAACGTGCTCCTTCGTGCAAAAATTACGATTGCATCCATTGTGCCGCACATGTTACATTACGCCGCAAAGGTCACAGTGAGAGCAATAATTGTAGGCCCATCAATCACTGATAACACTCAACTGATGAGCGGTAACAGCTTGGTCAATTTTGCGTATTGTATTTTTTTTGTGTGAGTTCGCGGGTGCGCGCAATTTTAAAGCTTGACATGTTTGGTGTCTATTTACCCAACGTGACCCTGTCTTTTATATTTTACTAAAACATTGGGTAATATTAAATGTTTTATAACCTAATGTAGGGAGAACAGTTTTTTTTCAAAATGTTCAGTACTTTTTATCATTGTATAATAAAAAGCAAAAGTGGTGCAGGGGGTATAAACACTCAGTCAGCAAGTGGTTAAAGGGCAATTCCAGTTTGGGGGGGGTGGTTCCCCCAAAGGTATGATGATGGTGGGGGGGGATAGAGGAGACCAATTTGTGGGGGTAATATCAGTTTTCCACATTTAATATTGCCCTTTAAGCTGACAGTAAACTGAGTCTCATGAATTCCTCCGTGAGAGTCATGTGATCTGCAGCGTATGGGAGGCGCTGTACAATACAATGACGGCTATCTCCACCCTGAGCTATTCACATCACATTTCCATGCAATCGCAAAGTCTGCAATCCAGCCCAATTCAGAGGTGTGATTACGGCCTAACATAATCCTGTCTCATTGTCCATTCTGGAAAAAGTGAAATGTTCTCTTGTTAAGACTTCCCCCACTGAGACACTGCTTGGTGACTGTGTAACCAGTTTCCAGGTTGAGCACTATCATATGGGTGGTGGTGGGGAGAATAGTTGTCTGCTCTGGCAGGGGAACCAGATGGATTGACAGATATGCTTTAGCCCTCATTCACACAAGAAACGGCCGGCCCGTACAGATCCATGCGACGTGCACAGCCGTATCGGGCCGCTCCCAGGAAGGAAAGGTGCTGCGTGTGATTTGTATGCAGCAGCCTGTCCTTCTCTATAGGAGTGCGCTGCCCTACGCTCACCCGAACTGCCCGTCTGTAAGGGTGCTGGTGTCCCTGTTCAGACGCATCCTGTCTGCGTATCAGTACGAGCACCTGCAGTTCAGGTGAGCGTACGGCCACGTACTCCCATAGAGAGAAGGACAGGCTGCTGCATACAAATCACACGCAGCACCTGTCCTTCCCGGGAGCTGCCCAATACGGCTGCACGGATCTGTATGGGCCGGCCGTTTCTTGTGTGAATGAGGGCTTTGGGCCTGTTCACACCACTTCCAGTGCGTTCCAGCAGCTAACCATGCTGGAATGCACACTGTGAAGGCTCCCTGCGTTCTGGGGTGGCGGGGGGCATTCGGTGCAATTAAATCAATGGCACTGCAGCCACACCCGCAGTGGGATCGCCCTCACCAGAATGCGTGACACAGCAATGCCTGCGTTCCCGTCCATTGTGATCACAAAAAATAGTGCATTGACTTGAATGCACTGCCACGCTCCTAAGTGTGTGTTGCACACAGTTTTGGGGGTGTCCATTTACTTCTAATAGGCCCCCAGCATGCATCTATGCCCGAAACTGCATCTGGCCATCAACGCACCCCATTGCATACACCAGAAAACACTTGGGCTGCATTTTATTTATTGATGCGGGGATGTTCTCTGAAGACCCTTGAGAAATGCATGGGCACGTATACCGTAACAGACATCTACACCGCAAGCAACATGCGTAAATAGTTTAACTGCATTGCAGATCAATGCATGACTCACCCCCAAGACTCCTTATTGGTCAGTGAGACTGCCAATCACAGGGGGATAAGCTACCCTGATGTTAATCACTTGCTGTTGAAAGATTTATCCAGTTGCTGGAAGTCACCTCATTAGGCCAGAGCTATACATCTGTTAATTCTATAGATCAATTGATTGCTAAAGAGGTGGAACAAATGGCACCCTATGGACCAAGCAACATGCAGCAATGACCATTCTGTTATGATCACACAGTACTCCAGTCATGTGCGATTGGCTACTTGTAGCTTACTCTCTAGAACCTAATGAAATCTGCTGTGTAGTTCTGGCCTAAAGAGCTAGCAAGTGCCTGAATCTTTTGAATGGCATACTGGGTTCTATAGCTCCACCATGGCTGAAGAGCTGCAGCTGGCTTTGGCTAGTCTGTTTCATGGACTGAGAGAATGAAGTAAGGGGTTCATGATGCTGTGCTTATACATATTCGTTGCTAATAGTGACTTCAATATTTACTTGTTTTCCCCTCAGATCAGTTCCCTTTGCTTACAACAAAGCGGGTATTCTGGAAAGGAGTGCTTGAAGAGCTTCTGTGGTTCATTAAGGTATTTCTTTTATGAATGGAAATTAAAATTCCAAGTAACATTTCTAGTATGTAAAAGCTCCCTGAAATCGTGATCTGTAGTTCAATATATCAATATGTACAGAAAATTAACACGGCAAGCCGATTTCTCCACAAATTGTGAGTGTGGCTCAAAGGGAAACCCACTAGGGTCATTTCCAGGGACTGAACCCTATAGACATGGCATATTCATTTTTCAGTGCAGCAAAATTAAAGAACAACTCTGGGCAGAAATGTTATCAACCCTTGCTGTAAGGCTAGCCCCCCCCGCACTACAAGGGTTAACGGCGCATTTTTGTCTAGGGTCAATGAAAAAAAGTTAAACTCACCCAATCCTCGGAGTCAGCAGCGATGGAATGTCCCTCACGTCCTATACACTGTATTGGACATGGAGACATGAGGATTCCTGTTGTAGTGAAGGGGCAGAGACGCTCCAGGGACCGGTCTAAGAGCTGGTGGGATCCGGTGAGTAAAAGGTTTGTTGTTTTTTTCTACCCTAAGCAAAAACAAGCAGATAACCCTTGCTGTGTGGGGGTAGCCCTACTGCAAGGGTTAATAAAATGTCTTCCTTGAGTTCTTCTTTAAATTTGCTGCACTGAAAAATGAATATACTACAGGGAATTTATCAAAACTGGAGCAGACAAAATCTGGAGCAGTTGACCAGGGCAACCAATCAGCTTCTCTGTTCAGTTTGTTCAGTGTAGATTTGAAAATGAAGGACGGATGCTGATTGGTTGCCATGCACAGCTGCAAAAACTTGTTTTTTTTTTTCTTGTGCCTAGCGCCCTCCTGTAGGTGGCGCTACATCATAAAGTTCCAGAACTTTGATCTGTGTCCTTCAATTAATGAAAGAGAAAGTGTTCTGTCTGATGTTATGCAGATAATAACGCTGGTAATAATATCAAAACTGCTACACTCAGAAAAATGATCTGTGACCAGAGTTAGTGATCCGCTATGGGCAGGACACCACGCCAGAATCACTTGATCTTTGCCCAGCTCTGGTTCACATTCATGGCATACTGTTCATAAACCATGTATTACTCTGATTTAGCAGCTAAGGGGTTAACACCTTTAGTTCCAGTGAATGTGATGTTGTTGGAAGCAATTATCACACACAAACATTTTCAACATATCAAAATATTTGTGAGCTTGGTCAGCAATTCAGTCTTTCCATAAAATAGAGACACTCTGCTTTGCTTGGTGGAGTTACTATTTTGATTGCCAAATACATTCATATTCTTTTTTTTATTTACCAGACGAAATACATGAGTTGATTGATGCCATGATACCTACGTGACTTCACTATTGTAGGAGTTTTCTGCCCCCTACACACCTGGTGCGTTTGGTCAGCGTGAGCTGTTAAGGTAGCCCATTCAGTTTGGACTGGAAAACGCACAACAACACAAGCAGTACCGGACCTTTGCCATATTTAAAACGTGATGCACAGTATGTGTGTGCACTCTTCTGTAATGTTGGCCCCTAATATCTTTGTTTTGGGGTGCCATTCTGATTGAAAGGCATTGAAGCGCACTGCACAATGAGGCATATGTTATATCTGCACAGTAAAACGCAGCGTGCATAGGTATTAAGGGGCCATAAACAATTGTTAATATTCAGTATTCATCATAATCTCCTGTTTGTTCAGCTTCAAGATTTTCTTTTTTTTCAGGGTTCTACAAATGCAAAAGAGCTTTCTGAAAAAGGGGTGAAAATCTGGGATGCAAATGGCTCCAGAGAGTTCTTGGATAAGCAAGGCTTTACATCACGGGAGGAAGGAGACCTTGGACCTGTATATGGTTTTCAATGGAGGCATTTTGGTGCAGAGTACAAAGACATTCATACAGGTAAGTGTATAGGCCCATGTCTACACATTTAACCCTTTCACTGCTGGGCCCTGCAGTCTGCTCCTAACCGGAACAGCCCAGACCAGTTTTGCAGATTTTTACTTTTGTTTTTATCTTTCACTTACAGCTTTTCGGAATCTGTATAATATTTACTTCACATCATGTATGGTCTGTGAAGTAATACTTCCCAGACCATACATTTTCTAAAAGCACTGGGCTGGTAGAATACAAATCTGGTGCTACAAATTTTGTATATCTTGTGATAGTTGCACAAATGTTGATCAAAATGACATTTTTGATAGAAATACACTAAACTCATTAGTACACACTAATGTAACATAACTTCCAGCATGTCTGCTTAATCTAAGAGCTAAAACTTTATTGAGTTAGTAACAAATATCTGTAATTTTAAATGAAAAACTGCGATCAGCTGCTGACCACAGCTATTCATTGACTCGGTAGAGTCTGGGGAACATTTTTGTTATAAGCTCATGGTCACTGAAGTGAATGCTGAGGACGTAACCTGGCAGCGATCTTGTTCTGATGTAAACCTTATATCTTTGGCAGTGAAAGGGTTAATTCATGTTGTATTGGTCTATTTATAAAAGTTACCTGAACTATTTTTGGCCACATGGGCATACTTCAAGACTCGTCTTCACATTTATGCTTTATAATGTGTTTACAGTGTTGGGGGCCCTGTAGCAAAGATTGGGATCCCCTCTAGACCATGTACAATGTGGTTTGTGATGCACACATAGGTGGGAACCCAGCCTTGTTCTATACACGTTTTTGTTTTTTTACACCAGATGTGTTTTTGTTTTTTTTTTCCTTCCAGATTACACAGGAGAGGGAGTGGACCAATTGCAAAGAGTCATTGAAACCATTAAGAACAATCCAGATGACAGGAGGATCATTATGTGCAGCTGGAATCCCAAAGGTTGTCAAGATTAAAACTCTTCAATGAATGTTCACTGGCCATTTCTCCCCCCAAAACACTTTATTTCCTAGATTTCTATCATAAATACGTGTGTTTTATTGTTTTTTTTTTTCTTTTTATGGATGGAAAGTCTCCAAATATATAGAAATTGACTTTGAGAAATAAGGATTTGGGAAAAGTGATGGCAGACTAGCTTCCTATCAGCGTTTTCCTTGATTCTGCTATGAGAAAATGTATTTGTATAAAATTATGGCTTACTAATGTATATCTTTTTTTTGTAGATCTCCCTCTGATGGCACTTCCCCCATGCCATGCTCTTTGCCAGTTCTATGTTCTCAACAATGAATTGTCGTGTCAGCTATACCAGAGATCGGGAGATATGGGCCTAGGAGTGCCATTCAACATAGCCAGTTATGCTTTATTAACCTATATGATCGCTCACGTTACAGGACTGAAGGTAATGTTGGATAACACAATTATTCTGTCCAAAGATGGCAACTACATCATCTAAGTGTGTTGTAAATTGTAGTTAAAGTGTGCCTGTGCTTGGCCTATGCAAAGCTGGTGACAGTGCTAGTGACAAGCCCGCTCGGGCACCCGGGCCATCACTTGTGGGTGGGGATAGAGTTCTCTTAGCCCGTTGTAAGATCCGACTAGGATCAGCTTTGAGATTACACAAGCCTTCTCTTTACTCCTGCAGGCCAGTAAGGGAGGGAAGGTACAGGCAGCTGCATCCTGCATGGGCAAAGTACAGGCATACTTTAAAGTGAATCTGTAGTCACTACACACACACACACACACACACACACACACACACACACACAATATTTCTCTATCACAATCATTTCCATGTATTTAAATTTGCTAATGTCAAAAGTAGATGTTGGAGCATTGACCCGTTACGGTTTTTGTTCTTATTCCAGCCTGGTGATTTTATCCACACAATGGGAGATGCTCATATATACCTTAATCACGTTGAACCATTAAAAACTCAGGTAAGTACAAGTAGTGCTAATATTATGCTGAACGAAGATAGGAAGTAAAACATCTTGTGCATTTTCTATGTATCTATATGATGTATTGTGTCATAAATCTTGTATATAGAATATATTTTACAGGGGGCTAGAAAATGGTTCTGTGTGGTTTTAGAAACTTGAAAGACTAAGCAAATGGGTCGTATTTCTTCTGGTCACAGTGCTTATGAAATCATTTCAGTGGGATTTTCTAATGAGATTGTAGCAGAACATTTGTGACGTGTTATTAATGAAGATGTTTGGGCTTTTAAAGTACCAAAGAATATATCACATCAGCCAGGAAAACCAAAAGTCCTCTTTTCAAAAGGATCTGAGCTTCAGCCAACATGTACTCCTTGTTGGTTCTGTCCTCTTAGCTGTGTTCTGGAGCACACAGAAAGGCACAAGTACAGAGATTTGGCTGTGTGCAGTTGACAAATTAAAGTTGTTGGCAGCTACCCATTGGCTGCTGCTACCCAAAGCTATTTCATGTTTGTGTCCATGTAGTGGCACAAGAATGAATTATAGATGTTGTGATAGTCCGAGACTTTGCTTGTGGAATACCTTTTGACTAAGTGATTGTCACTTCATGCATTTATTAAGCAAGTTTTACATTTGTATTGTCTGGGTGTTTTTAGTGTGGCATTGATGGTGGATTTTTTTTTCCTAACCGAAACCAAATATATATTTTCTTTTACATTCCAGCTTCAAAGAAAACCTAGACCATTTCCTAAGCTGAAAATCCTTCATCAAGTGAAGAACATCAATGATTTTAAAGCAGAGGATTTCCAGATTGAAGGCTATGACCCTCATCCTACTATCAAAATGGAAATGGCTGTGTAATGTTGTCCTGTTTTTAAATAGTTCTTGTATAGTAAACTAATATTTGTTGTTATGCACTAAAGTATTGGAGTCCATTTTTGTATATATGGCTGTTCTGGATTTAGGTTTGTGCTAGAATTCTGAAGCTTATTCATTCAGTAATATAAGCTGCTACTGCTTACTGTATACCATTCACGTCAACAGAACAATAAACATGGAATGTGGACTGCGTGTTATGGCTCTGCAGTTTAGGGCAGATTCACTTACTGTATTAACGTTGTGCAACTTGAGTTACCAGTTATTTTGGATGGCTCAACAACAGTCCTACGTTTTGACACAACACACAGATGTGAACTGTCTGGTGTGTTTTGGGGGAGGGGGTGTTAAACAGTTGAACCTTTGATATACCACAAATGCTAAATCGTAACGCAAGAAAGGTTTACGTTCTATTAATCAAATGTTAAAAGTAACTTTACTTGTCTAATTAGGTTGTCTTCATTTTTGACAAACGTTTGACAGGTTTTGGTTTACAATTATTCACCAAACCTCTACCAGGTTCTGATTACAATGAAATAAAGTATAATTTATATAAATCTTGTTTATATCTGAAGCTGCCATTTTTCTTCCTGGTAGAGTATAAAAACAAACTTTTACTGCTTCTTAGGTGTGCAAGAATACTAGTAACATCTGTACGCCAGTTTTCAGAGAATAGCTTTTCCTTTCTCTATACTCCCATTTAAGCAGTAGAGACAAAACAATGCAGTTGGAAGGCTGATACGCTACTCTGCAAAACTTCTGTCTGTTGTATACCCGCTGCACCTGTTTAGCAACTGTCCACTAAACATTTTTCTGCTCAGCACCACTCCAGCCAAAAATGCAGCCACAACATTTAAGGATTGATAAGCTGCAAAATATTACATTTTTGGTTTTGGATGCGCTTTTTAAGACCGTTTTACTCTAAACAGATGCATAAGTGGTTGGTGTCGGGTATAATTCTGTCACAGTGCTGTGGTACAGCATCTTAGGGAGAAAATGATTGATCACGCTGTAACCTTTTAGTAAGTTGTTGTACAATCTTTCTCATTGCTCCTGTTTAGCAATGCCTTGTGAGAAAGAGTTAAGTGTCCACCAGAGTATTTTTTTTCTGTACAAAAGTACACCCGTACCTTTTTACATAGACATATAATTGCTACAGATTCAGTTTTGATTTGGTATTAATGTTTCAACTTAGTCTGCAGCCAGCTAAAATAAATTAAAGTAAATCTTTTTATCAGTGTCTTGATTCTTCAGTTTTTCTATTACAACACTGGGAATGACCATGAGATCATAGCAGACAGACCCTCCTACTCACCACTTGGAAAGAAGAAAATTACTCAAATACATATGTTAGTATCTACAGAACATGTAAGGACCCGTTCACACCAGGTGTGTTGACTAGTACTGAGTAACACAGACACAAAACAATTGTTCTCTATATGCTCTGTTCACACCATACAACTGCGTCGGAGTGTCTGATGTAAAAGCTGCAATACTTTGTAACAACAAATCACACTGTCCGTACACTGCACCATAACAGACAAAGTGTGCGCCCACTATAATGAATGGAGGTTTGCTAAATTCCTTGCAATGTATATGACTGACCTAGAGAAGATAATAGGCAATTCATAGTAGTACTACTATGATGTATAGCAAGGGTGCCCACAATTTTTGTGTTAAGATCTACTTTTCAAATGACGAGCTACATGAGATCTACCAAAAAAAACCCCACTCTCGCTCTCCTGGCTGTGTCTCCTCGCTCATCCTCCTGGCTGTCTTTCCTCGCCCTCTCTCTCCTGGCTCACCTTGCTGTATTTTGCAAACAGTGCAGTGCAACAGGCTGTGTAAACTAATATTCTTTGATGTAATACAAAGCACTTCAACCACCAGTATCCTCCAGAAAGGTGTCAGGGAGCTTGGCTCAGCAGACTCGGGCCAATAGGTAATCATGTGTGCACAGCTAAATGAATATACCTAAATGGAATAAAGGGGCCACCATTCACACCCTTCGTGATCTACCAGCATCAGCTTTGAGAGCTACTGGTAGATGTATAGGGTGATAAGTCTTGGCCATACATGTAAAGATTTCTTACTCTCACTCTATTCGATGCTAAATGGCATAGAAAGATAAGAGTCCCCTATCGGCTATTGTATTCTGACAGAATATTGAATTGAAATTGTAAACAAAGTATGTTGAGCTGAGTAATTGCAGGGAAACCCGCAGCTCAGATTTCAGGCAATTTACAGGAATTGTCAGAAATTCGGGCCGTGTATAGGCAGCTTTCATTGTACATCTTTAGCATCATAGTTCCATTACCTACAAGAGCAATGAGTGCAAAAAGGTTATTTTATATAAAGCTGTTTTTTTTTATTGGTCACCTTAAAATAGATGAGTTTAGAAGAAGATCCTCTCCAAAAAATCAGAAATGACTATCTCCATAACAATAAAATCCTGGACTACAGCTCTCGAAACTAGATTGTCATTCTTTATAAAATATTGATGATACTTTTTCTGGTCAGTGAGTGTGTTATCTCGTTATATGAAAATACCGGTATTGGAAACCATTGTGTGCGCTCAGGTAAACGGGAATTTATTAAAACTGGAGCAGATAAAATCTGGAGTTGTTGCCATGCACAGCTGCTCCAGATTTGATAAATTCCCCTCACAGAATATACTGTACAGTACAGGTATTCCTCACTTAACGACCGAGTTCCGTTCCTACGACCAGGTCGTTAAACGAATTGGTCGTTAAGTGAGGAACTCTATACAGTACTGTACTGCATTAGTACAGTACTGTATAGCGTTGCCGATGTACAGTACCGAACAGTGTACTGTACATCGGGCAATGAAAATACTCACGGGGACCCGCAGTGAAGAACGGAGGACGTCACTTCCCCCAGCGACACGTCGCACTGACGCGCGAGGTCGGAGGTCGCTCGGAGGACGGTCGTAAGTGCGAGTGGTCGCAAAACAGGTAAGTTGTTAAGCGAGTGTCAAACCATTAATACTGAGGGCGCTATATTTCAATCCTTTTCTCCATGACTAATTTCTGCCATACATCTCCATCCGGGAACTGGTACTGTGACACTGATTCTGCTTTCATTTCTGTGGAGTAGCCAGGATCCTAAAAGAAACATGAGCAAATTAAAGTTATTTAGTTTTAGTGAGACAAAAAAAACTCATGAATAAAATATATAAATCTTTTTTTTTACTAATTTAGGTAATTAAAGAGAAATATAATCAACATACCATGGGGGGGGGGATTTATCAAAACTGGAGCAGTGGCCCATGGCAACCAATCAGCGTTTCTCTTTCATTTTTAAAGCTTAACGCAACTAAAAACAGGAGCTGACTGATTACTATGGGCAACTGCTCCAGATTCGGTCTGCTCCAGTTTTGTTAAATTCCTCCTACAATGTTTTGAACAGAGTAATGTGGCTAGAAAAAAAAACAATTACCAAAAAATGTGTAGATTGTCATTCCTAATTATTCCTTCTAAAGTTTCTATTTGTCTGGCTGTCATGCCGACCCACTGACTTGAGTACTCTAAAGAACTGATTCATAACAAGGATGCAGAAGTGGAGTTGGGCCACGCTGGCTCCAAAACTGTTCAGGGTCAGTGATTTAACAAGTATATAATGTAGAGATAGCCAGGTACCACTACAATGAGGTAAAACAAACAAAAAAGTCGGGCTTCCTATATAGTATAAGAAGTCCAAGGGGTTGTTAAAGACCAGGACAGACCAAAAATTAAATTATTCTTAGAAAAGGGATTCATTTATATAAAGGTAAACAACAGACATGGCCAACATCTACTTATCGACCAATTAAAAACAGTACAAAAAGAAACAGTACAGAAAAAGTGCTCAATGTGATCAAAGTAATTGTTGGGTGGGACAGCGTAAACCCCCTAGGAATTAAGCACATCCGTCAGGGCACATAGCAGCTTCTAAACTCAAGTATCGTAATGACTTCAGATGACAGGATTTAACAAAGCCCCTGGGGGAGGGGCAAAAGGCGTAGACGCCGTACACTGGTTGGACAAACCCCAAGCATACGAGACGCATCGATGTAGCGTCTGGACCCACAGCACTTCTTTCGTGTTACTTTGTTATAATCTGGATTCCCCTATTCTCTTGACATCACAGATTTCCAAGTTAAGGACAAATCTGGGAGTACACCCACTGTCCTACCAACAGTACAATCTGACTGATTGAAAGGACAAACCTTACACAGAACAATACCCAGCTAGACATGTGAGTAAAGACTGCCTTTTCATTCGAATTCAAACTTTGAAATAGATCAGATAAATACCTCTGCACTATTATAGTACAAAAGGGAAGATTCATATACTGTCTAGTACCTACACCACCATCTCAGTTTCATTACTGACAAACCTATTCTAACTATTAATATAACGTGAGGAAAAGTGTCTTTTCAACTATAACTCAGGACGCCGTTCACAATTAAGAACAGCACGAAAAATAAACAAAAATCCAAATTACTGTGTCCAGCTCCACAGTGACATAGAAATATATTTGCCGAAGAAACTAATGAGATACTGTTACATGTTGCCGAACAGGCAGATACAAATGAAACTAAGTTGCAAATCCTGAGCTACTAACCTGTATTTATGTGATATCAAGACCACACAGGGTTAAATCCTGTCATCTGAAGTCTATACGATACTTGAGTTTAGAAGCTGCTATGTGCCCTGACGGATGTGCTTAATTCCTATGGGGTTTACGCTGTCAAACCCAACGATTACTTTGATCACAGTCAGCGCTTTTTCTGTACTGTTTCTTTTTGTACTGTTTTTAATTGGTCGAGAAGTAGACTTTTTTGTTTGTTTTACGTCTTGTATCGGTTATGGATCTGGTAAGACGGACCAATACGAAAGTGTAACTTACTCAGAGCTGATATCTCCAGAAGTAAAACAACCCCAAATTGTATTCTACCACTACAATGAGGGCCTTGTCAATGGCTTCAATATGTCAGAGTTTAGGCAGGGGTGTGTTTTTATCATTGTAATCAATAAAATGGTCT